TCTTTCTCCACGAGTGTTAATAGAGCTAAAGGCATGCTCGAATATGTGCACTCTGATCTATGAGGTCCTGCTAGTAATCCCACATAGAGTGGAAATAGGTATTTCCTGTCTATTATTAATGACTACACTAGGAAAGTGTGGGTCTATCTTTTGAAGGATAAATCTGAGACATTCAATAGTTTTAATAATTGGAAGAGACAAGTGGAAAACCAAACTGGCAAGAAAATCAAATTTTTAAGGACAGATAACAGCCTAGAATTTTGCAATAAAGAATTTGATAATATGTGTAAAGAAAGCGGCATAACTAGATATAAGACCGCTCCCTACACCCCTCAACAAAATGGGGTAGTAGAAAGGATGAATAGGATCATACTTGATAAAGTACGTTGCATGATGATTAGTTCTGGTGTTCCCAAGTCATTTTGGGGTGAGGCTGTTATGACAGCTTGCTATTTAATTAATCTGACTCCTTCTGCTGCATTGAATGGTGACACTCCGCATGAGAGATGGTCGGGTAAACTGAGTGATTACTCGATACTTAGAACTTTTGGCTGTACAGCTTTTTTTCATCAAAGTGAGGGTAAGCTGGAACCGAGAGCTAGGAAGTGTGTCTTCCTAGGATACCCCGAGGGTGTTAAGAGTTATAGGTTATGGGATAGAAGCCAAAAAGGGGTTAAAATTATTATAAGTAGAGATGTCACGTTTAACGAAAATGAGATGCCATGTATTAAAGGGGAAACTGAACCTGAGAGTGAAGTAGAATCAGGTAAAGAGAGAGACCAGTTTAAGGTGGAGTTAGGAAAACTCAGTTCACCTACCCCTACTATTTCAAATGAGGTAGAGACTCAAACTCAGGAACCCGAGGTAGAGAATAGTAACGAAATAGTAACAGAAGAGCACTATGAGGAAAAAAATCCTTTAGCTAACTATAACTGAGTTAGGAATAGAGAGAGGAGACAGACGAGAGAACTAAGAAGGTTCGGTTTTGAATCTGAATTAGCTTTCGCCCAGGCTAGTTATGAAGAACTAGCTGATAAAGAGTCAAAGACCTTTGAAGAAGCAATACGCAGTGATCAATCTAATGAATGGCTTAAGGCAATGAAAGAAGATATGAGTTTTCTAGAAAAAAATCATACTTGGGAGCTAGTACCTAGGCCTAAGAACAAATCAATTGTTGATTGCAAATGGATTTTTAAGGTTAAAAAAGGAACTAGCAGCTCGGAACCCCTAAGGTTTAAAGCTAGGTTAGTGGCTAAAAGCTACACACAGAAAGAAGGCGTTGATTATAATGAAATTTTCTTACCAGTTGTTAAGTATACCACTATTAGGGTCATGCTCGCATTAGTTGCACATTTTGACTAGAAACTTGAACAACTTGACGTAAAAAACAGCTTTCTTACATGGTGAGTTTGATGAAAAATATTTCATGAATCAACCAAAAGGTTTTAAGGATAAGTCAAAACCTGATTATATGTGTTTTCTGAGAAGAACCTTGTATGGGTTAAAACAATCTCCTAGACAGTGGTACAAAAGGTTTGATTCCTTTGTACTCATTATATGGTTCCAAAGAAGTAAATTTGATAATTGCTTGTATTTTCAACACAATGAGACTAATGATAATTATCTGTTTTTGTTACTCTATGTGGACGACATGCTTTTGATTGGATCATCCTCTAAATGGATAAATAACATAAAAGCAAAACTAAGTGGTGAATTTGACATGAAAGACCTAGGTAAGGCTAAGAGAATCTTAGGTATTGAAATCGAAAGAGATAGGTCAAATTCTGTTTTGTCTTTGCATCAGTCTCCATACATATCAAAAGTATTGAAGAAATTCAATATGAGTGATTGCAAACCTGTCATGTTGCCTTTTGCTAATCATTTTGTTTTATCGAAGGAACAATCTCCTTGTAATGAGCGTGAAGTTGAATACATGAGTAGAGTGCCTTACTCTAATGTGATTGGTTCCATAATGTATTTGATGGTTTGCACTAGACTTGATTTAGGTTTTGCTATTAGTACTCTCAGTAGATATATGGTTAATCCGGGCCCTGAACATTGGGAAGCACTGAAGTGGTTGTTAAAGTACTTGAAGGGTACTAGTAACGTAGGTTTAAAGTTTAGTGCTAATAAAGAAGGCATTAAATTAAAGGGTTTTGTAGATGCAGACTACGCGGGAGATAGGGATGGTAGGAAATCTACTTCATCTTACGTGTTTACCTTATCTAAGTCATGTGTTAGTTGGAAATCACAGTTATAACATATTGTTGCACTATCCACTACAGAATCTGAATATATTGCTACCACTGAAGCTATTAAAGAAGCTCTATGGCTTAGAGGTCTACTTCATAAACTATGTGTCTTGAATCATTATGTGGTGTGTGTTCTGATAGTCAGTCATCTATACATTTATGTAAGAACCCTGTTTTTCACCAGCACACTAAACACATTGATGTTAGACTCCACTTCATTAGAGATATAGTATCTCAAGAGGTGGTAAGACTTGAGAAAGTCCATACCCACTACAACCCATCTGATATGGGGACGAAGGTACTGTCACTAACAAAGTTTAGAAGTTGCAAAGAACTTCTAAACATTGGTACAGGTAAATGATTTCCAATTTTATTGATTTTCTATTAGAGATGTCACTAATGGGAGAAAATTTTCTTTTGCAGGTCCTTTGACACCAAGGTGGAGGTTGTTAGTCAATTTGTTGTCAAACGACTTTCCCGGGCTATGATGTAACCTCGGTTTTATTATCAATCGGCCTTAGCCATATGATTGACTAGTACATCGACACAATTATCGAGACAACACAATCCACATTCGTATGGATCGTTCGAAGCAACCTATTGTAAATAGTGTTGCTCACGGTTCGCCTCATTTCCTTGGAAGACTATATTATTAATTTGAAACCCACTTAAATTGAGTCGAGCCTTGTTTTGATCCACAATTTAACCCTAACCTAACTTACCTATTTTGGACATTTACTTGGCATATAATCCCGTCTCCCTCTCGGCCTCCATAAGGTGTGTCCCCATTTTCTCTCTTTGTGAGACTTTTCTTCTTGGCTTCTTGCTTCACTTCACTGTAACCTTTGTGGTTAATCCTTAGTGGGCATATCATTGGACTTCATCTTCCCAACCTATAGCAACTGGAAGTGGGGCGGTTTTGGTGGTGGTTTTGGAGTTGTCTCAACCTTGGTGGTGTCGATGAAATTGGTATACTGAGCCCGGTTTTGTACTTGGAGTTTACTGAAAATCATCCCTACACTGCTCAAGCAGTTCCAGCTGTTTCTTCAACAGCATCCCAAGGTTCTTAACAATTATGACTGCCAAATCAACAGCGGTGTTCAACCTGCTTCATCATATCATCATCAATGTCACTACCGCTATCCTCTCATGTTTTACAGAAAATATTTCATTGAAGAGGCAATCGGAGCTAAATATGGGGAAGCTTTTGAAATATTTAGACCAGATAGCCCCCTTAAAGTTGAGGTAGGCCTTTTGGATGATAGATTGTAAGAAGATTTCCTTCAAAGAATTCAGTATGTCATGAAGCCTGATGAAGCTTATGGGCTTATATTCTCATGAGACAATATTGTGACAGACACTTTATCATGGAACTTGAATGTGACCTGCACTTGAGAAGAGAAAGGAGATTTCTCAGATTACTATTTTGAGCTTAATGCAGAAAGTGAGCTTCAACCAGATAGGCAACTTGGGAGGGTGTTGAATGGAATAAATTCCAATTTCCCTTCTGGGGACAAGATCAAGGTGAGAGGGAGGGTTGTCAAGAGGGAAATCAATGGGGTCTCAGAGCTAAACGGAAGAGGAAAAATAAAGGAGAAGCAACCTACAGCAGTAATTGAAATTGAAATTGAAATTGCCTATGACTTCATTTTTTATTAACTCCATACGGTGCAGTTTTACTTGAAATAAATTGCGGTAGTGAATTTAACACGCTTCTGTTAGAAGTGTAGAAATGCGATTTCTGCTTTGTATTAATAGGGAGAATATATATGCAACTTAGGGACGATGGACGAATCGTGTGTGAAATTTGTTGAAATCTTTCAACTTTTTTTCTAATCTCCTTCTTAATTTTGTCATTTTCTCTTATCACCAATTCTATTTATATTTCAATTTGTTACAATGTAGCTGAATTCAGCAGATTGGTTCCATAGCCGATTCACGAGAGAGTTAAAGCTGCAATTGGTTCCATAACTAATTGTTGTAACAATCAGTAAATTGTCAATTACATAATTTTTTCTTTGCAATCCCATTATATTTATTAGAAGATTCAATGTAACTAGATCATTAGTAACAATATAAAGCAATGTCAATCTTAACATTGACTCTTTTTTCAACTTGTTCTATCGAAGTGGCATTACTCTTATAATTACACTTCTTGTAATATAATAAATACAAACATGGGCCCTGTAAAATTTTTGAATGAATTAGTCTCAAGATGTAAAGGTGTCCCAACTGCCCAGCCTATAAGTGGCTCACTGCGCACGATCCTAGAACATCACCAAGATACCATTTAAATATAAAATAATTTTTATTTTAAAGAGTTAATGTTTTAATATAAACTCGACTCATTATTTTTACTTTTTAAAATAAAGAGTGAATTTCACTCTCCAAATTTAAAAAGTCAAATTCACTCTCTATTCTTAATTCACAATAATTACATTTAATCGACATATTTCAATACTTTATTTATTAAATTATTCAAATCAGATTCAATTAATTTTCCATTGAAGCATAAAAATATATGTTTAATAAAATATGAGGAGAAATCAATCAATATTTCTTAAGAAAAATAAAATAAAGAGCTAAAATAGAGAATATTGTTGGAGCGCATTAAAAATTTTACTCTAAATTTAAAAATGATCTCTATTATGTATAAAATATCTTTATAAATACGAATTTTTTGGAGATGCTCTTAACCCCAGCTTCACTAATTTTATACAAGTTGATATATTGAGCAAGCAAGCAAAATGAAACAGAGATAAAAACATGAAAGATTGAGACTTCGATTCAGTTAATACATATAGCACTTAATACTTGTCTTGCTTGTTTTTTTGATGATTACACCCAGTAACAAAATTCAATAAAGCAACCACACAGACCAAACATTCTAAGCATTCGTTGAAGCAATCAAACCACTTTCAAGAATAAGGGCATCATTTGCTGCCATCACCAAATAAGTAACCCAAGGAAGAGCCACCACCAGGTGCAGCATGGACCTTGGTCGAAGGGCGTTCCTGTAACCCATATGATAAGAATTACAAGAATTAATCGTCAGATAAGAAGAAAAGATAAACCTACATGGAGTAGCATGTCTCTCCTGAATCAAAGAACAACCAGGAGCAGAGTTTAGATTGAAGAATGCACACATAATGTTAAACCAAAAGATGTACCGATATTTAGAATTGTGAAATATTATACACTATCCCCCTTTTTTGTCAAGAAAATCATGGAGGAAAGGAGAAGGGAAAGGAAAAGAGACCATGAACATGTTTGGCTAAGCTTAAAAAGTTAATTTGTAAGTTTTAAAATAGCTAAATCTTTTTTAGTCGTGAAAGTTGGAAATGAGTTACTTTATCCGCAAGGTAAGAGTTACTTTCAAAGTAACTTTAAAAATGTTCATACAAACTAATTCTGACTGGTATGTGGCCGTGTTCAGTGCTTGTAAAGCAAGCATGTACTGAAACAGTAAAGACCATGTGAATCTAAAGCACCGTTTAATAAGATCAACGTAATCATATGTAAAACCAGAGCAGCCACATACCATAGAAAATTCGAATTTTCCATCTTTATGCATTGGGGTTGCTTTTGTATTTAAATAAACTACTGGAG